ATGCTATTAACCCACCATAATAAATCTTTCTGGTAACAGACAATGAAGATACCATGGAGGATATTACCCACTATTAAAGTGGCATTTTATACCATCTCACACACAGCTGTCTTTGTGGCCAATGTTGCAGCAGATATAACAATCACGGTGACTTTTGTGGGATATCAGAAAGCTCTTCTTGTGTTTTTCATGATTACATTTTATTCCCACTGAAGCCGTAAATCTGTATCAAGCCATAAATCGCGTTTCTGTTCTTAAAGACTAAAGACATTTTTGCCATGTGCGTTACTTGTGATGTTTTCTCCCGGTCTTTCTGCCTTTTAGCTCCTATTCCTTTGTATTTTCGTTCACCCTGTTTCGTAAACTTATCAATAGCAGACAGAGACAGAGAGGGCAGTAATTTTCAAAGCTCTCTCGACCGAACAAACAAACCGCCACGGCACTGATTTATCTGCCTCAGATCAAAGGTGGTGTTAATGTCAAGATTTTCTTTGTACTCGGGCACACAGGTGCAAACATAATGCACACACAAGCAAACCTCATCTGGCAGCCTCACAGGTTCAACATAGTAACTTTTGCTATATAACAAGTATGACATTGCAGATTTAAACATCCTGATAGTTTGAAGTATATACTCATTGGCCTTAACATATTTTCTTTCTCCATTCTCACCTATTAACCTACCTATTACATTTCATTTTCTATGGCATCTAACAGGGTTAAATATCATCTAAATTTCCAAAACATGCCATGTTGTGAATAACTTCTGAAAATTCAACTAAAGCCAAAAACAACTGCTGGTCTAGGCTCCAGCTAACATGAAACACTTTACACACACTGCTCACTTAGACTTACACTGACTCATCCTAACCAGGAATCTGACTCTTTGACCCAAAGAGTCTGGGAACTTTGAATATTTGTAACAATAGCATCACTACTGTGGAGGCAGGTGTGGTGATTCATGGATCCTGTCTTATTCATCCTATTATTTTTAAGAGAAAGAAAATATTAGCATCCAAGTGAATCCAGTATGTTCAGAGTGTAGCACGAAGAAGTGTTATTAAAAATGAATTTTAATAAGCTTGCTAAAATGGGAAGGGCTAAAACGGACATTACCTTGAGTATTATGTCTGGCAAACAACAAAAACCTGATGACGCACCGGTTAGAGGAGTGTATTTGACAGTGCACCCTGTTTACACCCCCCTGTGTGTTGACCACAGTGTTCACACTAAGCAGAGACACAGAGAGAGATGCAATGTGACCTTTCCAGTAGGTCTTTGAATGTCTCTTGCACAGCCCATATCCCTGGGCAAAGAGAGGAAAAGAAGTCAAACTGGAAATCCACTACAGGCCACTGAAACACACACATAGTGCAGCAGTGGGGAGTGAGGCCTCTTTACCTTGGCCTGTCGCCTTCTTTTGCTGCCCTTTCTAGTGAAAATGTCAGCCCATCCTTCTCTTGCTCTCTCTTTTTTTCTGCTTCTCTGCCCAGGTGACACAAGATTTATAGGGCAAAAATTAAGAATGTCCACCCAGTCTGCTCCGCAAACGCATACTTTAAAGTGTCCAGTTGGTGTTTGGAGTTTGAAGGCAATGTAAATTACAACAATGTCAGGTATTGATCACTGGTGATGCACATATTATCATATTGACTCTGAAACCAGGTGCAAAAGTAACATTTTAAGCAAACAATGTAGAAGATCACTGCACAGAACCCCAACACTAATGCAATGATGTATGTACGATGCATTTCTTAGAAATGACTGTTGTGTTCCTATTTTTGAGTAATACTTATAAATAAATGTACTCTCTGAGTGCATAACAGGGATAAAACGAGAAATGTGGGAATAGGTGAAGAGGAACAGAAAAGCTTTGTGAGGCGAGAGATAGACCTTTGTACGTAGTAGAGGGGGAGAGAGAGAGAGAATGAGAGTGAATTTATAAGAGACACTGACAGCGAGAAGATGAAAGCTCGAGATGAGATGTGCTGTAGTGACACTCAAGATCTCACTGTGAAGGTGGGGATCCTGCTGCTGCCCCTTAGGATATGTGGAATGTGCACGCTGTAGTGTGTTCTCTGAATGTGCCTCTACATACATGCATGGAGCATATGTGAGCCTGTGTCGCTGAGTTTTGCTGCCTTCTTTTCAGACGAATGAATGAAATCACTGGATAGTTTTATCAGACCAAAGCAAGAACAAAATTACTTAATTAGAACCCTGTGCACACATCCTAGATCTTCATATTGCAGTCCACACATCTTTAATAAAAGGAGCCTAACCCTAACATGAACATTTTTAAAAATGCTTTTCAAATACAGTCATAGATAAGAATAGTAGTCCTTTACAGCATACGCTTAAATACGATATCTAATTTATACAAGATGTGTTGCCTTCTGTAATGCTTTGAATATACAATATATTCTAGACAACACTGACATGGCATGATTTAAATGAAGTAGTGGTACACCCCATTTATCTTGTAGATAACTGAAAGAAATGACACAATGTGAAAATACTTATTGTAACAGCTTTGTTCAGAAATGTACTTTACCTGCTACTGCTGTATATGCTAGCTGTTCGTCAGTCATAGTTTAGTGCCAGGGCAAACATTAGTGAAAATAATGCTTTAACAAGGAAGAAAAACATGACATGAGAGGATTTTTTAACCATATATGAGATAATGTCATTGATTGGAAAAACCATCACTTCAGTCAGTAAGCAATGTAGTCAGGAACCACTGTGACGGCCACAGCTGGTTAAAAGTAAGAGACAAATAAAGTAACTCACTGAGAGGATAATGATTTCTCTCCATAACCTCCAGTTTATACACCGTATACTCATCCACCCTTTAGCTCATAGTGTTGCTTTGCCTATATGAGTAAAAATAGCAGGTGTGCTTGGAAACGCCCAAACACTTGGTTTGCATAAGACTTGGAACAGAACATTCTCATAGTCGTCTGAATCACTAGATGTAGACTGTGGGTACAAGCTTTCCATTTAACGGCATTCTTCTCCTCTTCCACTATCTGTGTTACTATTTTCAAAATCCCCTTTGCAATGGAAAACACCAACCTCCAAGCTAGCACCCTAAAAGCTAAAAATGTTAAAGACTTTTACCAAAGATCTGGATCGGGAAATAAAGCAGGCCTGCTTAGTAATCTCCGTAAATTAATCATTTTATTGACAGTTCTTGCCTCCCTGCATGCTAATGTTCCACCAAAACAAGTTTCCCCCCCAACACTATTCTGCAGGGGCACCGTTGCTGCATCCTGGGCTTAGCACACCAAAAACCACTGTCAATGCTTTAAAGAAATACAACCATCACAAGTGTTTTTTTGTTTTTTGTTAACCTGTATCAGGATGATAATGGGTGCAGCCAGACCATTCTCCTGCACTGACACAGTTCTGGAGATATTTCTGACTATGTAGGCCTTTTCTCATAGAAATCCTTATCACATCTGGTTCACTTATAGACTGAGCCATCTGTTCTGCAAGACATCACTAAGGACAGCTAAAGATCAGGCAAAGAAATGTAAAAATTAGCATTACAGTACCTTGTATGAAGAGTCAATGTTTGTGCCTCTGCTATTTGTACTCTCAGAATTACTTATATTAAACAATTTTGAGGAGCATGTCTTTTATTTCTATTTGTATAATTTCTTTGTCATTTTTACTTCCACTCTTAACATGGGGATGGTGTATAAATGCACGGATAGCATCACTTGTGTTGGATAACACATGCAAGAGAAAAGTCTTTTCTGCCTCTGCACCTTTTATTTGCCTCAGTCAGTGTGTTTTCTCAGTAACAATACCTTTAGTTCAGGATGAACTGGTACAAATTTGGAACGGAAATTATCAGAAACCAGCTACTACCTTTTTGTATCTTACCGAGTACACATCTGATCCAATGACTTGTAAAGACAGTATTTTTCAGTTCACAGTTTTGAGTGTGCAACCCAAAGCTCAATACATAACTAGATCACCCACCTGTACACAAATAAACAGACACACACGGCGCAGCACCGTGACTGGACTGATCAATCTCCTCTCTGTCAGTTCTGTTTAGCATCAGGGTGTTTGGTGTTGTCACTGAAAGCCCGTGGAGACCATCTAATCAATACAGAACTGGATATAGCACACAACTCCAATTGATTAATTGTTTCTGGGAAATTGGAACCAATTCAAACCTCACTCCTGCCATGCAAACACATCACAGGCTTGGATGTGTTGTGGTGATGTGGTGGAATGGCATTCAGTGTCACCAACACATTTCCCTGCCTACTCGATACACCCGAACTTTAATAGCTGTTAAGAACACTGCTACCCGTCCCACGAGACTAAGAAGTCCAGCAAACAACTCAAATATTGAACTACAGTAAACTCTTGACACTGAACTCATTCAATGGATCATTTGTATCAAATGATAAAATTAAGCAAATCGTGACCTTCTTGCACTGATATAACTCAAATGAAACACTGGAAACTCTCATATGATAACATAACAGCACAGAGATGAGGACTTTCATTTTCTTCACAGCACAGAAAGTCTCATGCTTGACCGTCACAGTATGTACTCCTCTCAGCAGAGTGAACACAGATCCATTTATCCAACATTGCGATACCCTTCAGATATCAGAGACTTTTTTGGCAATGCTCCTCCTAATAATGGAGTATGTCACCTAGTCCAGCAGTACAACACTTTAATCTGGTTTAGTAGTCTGTAAATGTCAGTAGATGGACATGATGTGAAGACTTGAGCAATATCTGTCTATGTCTACAAAGACAACGCATGTTTATAGGATAAATTCACTACCGAGTTTAGTCTTTCATCTTGAGGATTGGTTGATTTTAAAAATCTATATCATCAGTCTTATGATTAAGAATTGGAAACCGGGCTTCAGTTTACCAGAAGCTGCTATTAGTGCAAAAACTGTCGTCAGGTAAACAGTAGAATTCATGATTTGGAAAATGTGATTACTTATGCATGACAGCTTTACCTTCTCCTTGGTGCCAGTCTGCGTGGTGTCAGGCCTGGTGCGGATGGTAAATGGGGATGCAAGCCTCAGCAGGATTCCCTGGAATGAGGGCTCCATCTTGGGTGAGACAATCTCAAAACAGTCCCTGAATGAGAGGCTCCGGTGAGGCTCAATACGAGCCTGTCTCCTCAGTCCTTCCCCAAGCTGCAGTAGCTCCATGCGAGGCCCCAGGACAAGGTGAAATGGAAAGGCACGGCAAAACGTGGCCAGGCCAATGCGCAGATCACTGGGGTTGGTGGAGAGCGAGGGAGGAGGCCGTTTAGTGCTCACAGAGCCAGCATTTGAGAGGGAACAGAGGGAAGGAGGGCATGTCTCCTGGATTTGGAAGGATAGGCAAACGGTGGGAACAGAGGTTGGAAAAGGTGATGGGGGCGACGGGGATGAGGAGGGCGAGGCAGTGGGTGACGCAGTCGGAGTGGGGGTTGTGGAATCACAATCTGTGTGTTCTGCATCTTCATTGGGCATCAGGGGAGTTAGCGGTGGCACTTCTTCCACCTCAACTTCTGAATGAAAGATCCGCCTGGCAACAGCTCTGATCAACCCTGGCATGACCAATCCGACAACAGGGGCAGGGTTAAAACAATGAAGAAGCAACACCTTCCCTCTTCCATGTCTTTCTCCTTGATCTCCAACTTTGTCCAATTTTCTTCTCCCTTTCTCCTCCTCATGGGGATCCTTGCACTGGAAGGAGGGACTCTCAGATGAAGCACGGCGCCCTGTGGAGGTGCGAATGTGTTCCAAAATGGCGTCAAAACCATTGAAGAAATCCTGGAGGTTGCCGCCTACAGCCCGAAGTACTCGTTCATTTTCTTCGAAGCAGAGGCCAAAGAACTCCTCTCCAAAATGCTCTCGCAGCTCACAGAATGGTACTCCTGAAAGAGAAGAGACACAAAAAAAATAATGTCAGCAATGTTCTTTTTTTGAAGGCCACACACAAATTATCAGCACATATAAATGTACACCTAACCTACAGACATAAGCATAATTTTAAAAAAAAGAGAAATAAAAAAAATGTAAAAAAAATCACATTTGCATCTTGGTTCAGTGTATTCTATGGAGTAGTGAGAGTGCCAAATTACAAAAATAAATCAATAAAAGAATAAAAATGAATAAAAGTTGAAATAAAAAGAAGAATAAATAAAATAAAAAAATAAAATTCATTATTTTTTATCATTTTTATTTTTTTATCATTTTTTAATTTTTATTATTTTTTACGCTTTTTTCCTGCTTTTAAAGCAACATTTAATTTAAAGCAACATTTAAAAGCAAAGGAAAAAGAAAAAGGTGTGCAGAAAAAAGTGCGCAGTAGGAATGTCGTTGTGCGCAGGCGCAGAAGGAATAGTGCGCAAGTACGGACTTGTGTCCTTGAGTATTGAGAAACGGCCTTGTGTAGACTTGGGACTGCAAGTGTCCCAGAATGCATTTCGCGCCAACCAGTGATAAAAGCCGAGGAGAAAATTTTCAAAGGTAACTCAAGTTTTTTTGGTAACTACTACTGTTATTGTGGCACATAATGTAGTTTTAAGATTATTTTAGGCGAGAAAATAGTGGTATAAACATCAAATCTGTGGTCAATGGATCACGATAAAGCCTGCTTAAAATTTAGCTCTGACGATTTCGGAGACATGAGGGTCCTGGTTTGACTGCTGTGACAGCGGTCTGCGTTCGCAGTAGCCGCCGAGAGCAGCCGTATGTCGGCAAGACTTTCTGAAACATGCCGCTGGCTCTGACGCATAAAAATATGCAGGAAAATAAACAAAATTTAAAAATGAAGGAACAATGAAATAAAAAGGTACAACAAAACAGAGTTGCAGAAAAGTAAATCCGGGAAACAATGCAGGAATGAGCCCAGTTCAAACTTTTGAAATGCAGTTTTTAACAGTCAAATCACTATATTGACGTGATAGATTCAGCATTCATACAGAAACATTTGTACAGTTTACTCTGACATACACAAACCTCACAGAGGACATTTTGTTGTTCTTGTGGCTGGTGGTGCACTGCAGGTGTCCAAGCACAGTAACTGCAGTGATTACAGAGCCAAATAGTGTAAAAACCTCAGTTTTTCTCAAAGACACATTTCATGCAATACACCTATTTAAAACCAAACTCATGAACTCATATTTGTTTACCAAACTATTGGCATAGAGAGGGAGCCAATCCATAATGTGAAGCATTAATTACCATCTGATTTATATTCTTTTGTAACATTGTTGTCATGGGCTTTGAGGAGCAACCGACAGTATAAAATGACAGATAACACAGACTAATAAAGTTTTCTCCACAGGATGACTCAACCTTTACAACAAATGGAGGACCTTGGATATCAAGAGGGAGCTTGGAGAGCCCTCACTGGCTTCCTTGACATCTCCCTGTGGATGCATTTCAGTTATTTCTAACTGGGAGGAGATCGTTGGGCGGATCCTTAACAAGCTACAGGGATTATATATCCCATCTGACTAGGGAACACCTCAGGATTTCCCAGGAAGAGTTGGATGATGTTTTTGTGGTGAGGGTGTCTGGTGACTTAAGCAGCATAAATGGATGGATGAATATGATTAGTGCCTTGCAACTGTACTTAACTTATAGATTGGAGGACTGATCCAGGTACTGATTGGGTAACAAGCTACTTCTTTCTAAAGCAGGGTGTGCACAGCAGTTGCAATTACAATTTTTCAATCCTGCTAAATTTGCAAGTTTACATGTGAAATGTTTTCTGATGATCTAGAATGCTTTAAATCACTTCAAGACTACAAATCTGTGGACAAATATAATTTTGGAGCTGTTAAAAACAACTCCATACTTGCTTGTGACACAAATATGTAAAAACCCCTCCTATGCAGTTCAGAGATAAGAGATAAAGGAGCTGTCTCAAAAGCTGAGAGAAAACGTTATTTCATTCTTATCAAAAAAGGCAATGGTTTATAAAAAGACACTTCAGGTTCCAAGACACGCTTTTGGCAGTATCATAGTCAAGTTTAAGACGTATAGTACATCACAGCCTTTTTGTGCATGAAAGAAAGAGCAAAAACAGCTAAGAAAAACCTTGTCTTACTGCCAAAGATTTGCAGGAGGACCTGATGAAGGCAAGAACAAAAGTATCAGTACAGACTATAATAGAAACACTAAATCAGCAACACTTTGTGTCTGGTGACCTCAGCACACTCCCTTCTTGACCGAAAAGCACATGAAGTTTGTCTTGAATACCAAAGGACAAATGGATAAGCCTGTACAGTTCTGCACATCCATTTCATCGAGTGATGAGACAAAACTGGAGTTGTTTGGAATCATAGCTCAGCAGTAAGTCTGGAGTTCGACGAGTAATGCCTTCACTGATCAGCCACAACTTTACAATCACATTTTTTAATTTTTTTAAAGTTATTTTTTTGGCCTTGATTTGATAGAGCAGTGAGAGAGAGACAGAAAAGTGGGAGAGAAGAATGGGGGGAGGACGTGTGGGAAAGGGCCATGAGCAGAATTCGGTCTCATGACCCCCACATCGGGACTGTAGCCCTGTACATGGGACGCCGGCTCAACCCGGTGAGCTATAGCGGCGCTCCAACTTTACAACCACATGCCTAATATTGTGTAGGTCCATCTTATGGCGCCAAAACAGCTCTGAACCCTCAAGACGTGGACACTGGACCTCTGTGGGTGTACTGTGGGGTCTGGCACTGTGAGATTGGCAGAAGGTCCTGTGCGTTTCGGTTTGAGGCCTTCATGGATCAAGTTTTTTCCAGCGTATTCCATAAATGTCCAATCAGATCGGGATCAAGGGAGTTTGAGGTCCAGGTCACCACCTTGGGCTCTTGGTCATGATCCTCTAGCTATTCCTGAGCAGGTTTTGGAACATCAAGGAGTACCGTTGCCATCGTGGGGTGTGTATGGTCTGTAACAACGTTTCAGTGGGTGGTACATGTCAAAGTAACATCCACATGAATGCTAGGACCCAAGCTTTCCCACTTGAGCTGTCAGTGGGTTTAATATTGTGGTTGACAAACACCATCCCAGCAGTCAAGTGTGGAGGTGGGTCCATCCTATGATATTTTGCTGCTCGCAGGAAAGTGTAAACCTGTAACTGCATCATGAATTGTTTTAACTTTAAAGAAGAATGCGACATCCTCAAATTCTAAAATCTTAGGTAGGATTTACAGAATGTAGTTGCAGTAGAGGCTTTTGCACATGAGGAACAGGATAAAATACCAAAAAGGAATAAAAAAATATAATTATTCAATGCTGACTTTGGAGGCCTTTTCTAGATAAACTTTAATTTATCTTTTGTACTATTAGTAAACTCAGCATTGTGATTATAGTGGCTGTAACTCTGCACCAGAGAGTCAGAACAAAAAAAGGAGGCAAGAGACTGTAGATAGAGGCAGGAAGATATCTGAGATAGTACAGAAGGAGGATGAAGCTACACCGAGTGACTCACCAGGACAATGTGTGTTTTTTCATGTCAGGCCACAGAGACTGTAGAAGCCTCCAGAGTGAGTCATACAGTGAGCGTGTGCATGTTTTGCATGTGTAAATAGTTGTATATTTGTGCCTGTATGCACACTACCTAGGCCATGATACTGTATCTAAGTTTTTCATTATAAGTGTCTCCAATGTGTTTTTGTAAGTCAAATCTTTTGGGATGCCTTTGTGTGTGTGTGTGNTGTGTGTGTGTGTGTGTGTGTGTGTGTGTGTGTGTGTGTGTGTGTGTGTGTGTGTGTGTAAACAAACAAACAATATCAATACTAAAGAACAACCACAGGGGGAAAAAGAGAGAAGCAGCATCTATGTGTGTCAGTATAATTGATTGTAAGCAAAATTATAAACAGAAAACAGTCAAAAAAAAAGGGATAAATACAATAATATTCTTACATTCAGAACTACATCAACTCACATACAGAGAACACCATACAGGACTTGTGTCAAGTCTCTTCATCTGTGGCTTTCCTCACTCACTGGCAAACACACAGTTCACACACATTACTTTACTTGCGTACTTACCCAGAATGGTGCCCATGTACTGTAGGATTTGTAGGACATCTTCCTCTGAACCAGAATTTTCTAGAAATGGGCATTTCTCATCTTTCCTCTCTTTTCGCCTCTCATCACTCCCGACTTCCTGACACCTGTCAAAGACACAAACAGGATGAATCATGATTCACCATGAAATAATAGCTAATAAGGCGGTAAAAGCTAGCAACAGAATAAACTTGTGCTTCATTCCTTCAAGATGCACCATAGATGATTCGTGTCAAAAGTCATTGGATCAGAAATTTCATTCACATCCATTTTGCTGGGGTCACTGTCCTCTTGGCTGGATACCATTAAGCAGAGGTTTGTCTAAACAATGTTACAGGGGCGCTGCGCCCTCATACTCCCGGCTTGCGCCCTCTTACCAAAATGCTGATTGAACCCTGTGTTCACACCAGACGCGAGCAAAATCAAATGTGAAGTCAATGTGAAGATGCGATTAGTAAACGTCGTGAATTGACGCGAATTGAGCAAGATATTCGCGCGAATGACGCGACTCTAGCCGCGCGAACGTGCGATACGCACGTAACGCGATACCGATCCTCTCCAACAGGTAGTCAAACTGGGTTCGGATCAGCCGAAAACATAGCTGGAAGCGGCCATCATCCAGGCACAGCTCCTGTAGAAGGTGGGGGAATTCCCTGAGCTGTAGTGTACATGTATGATAGGGTCATCCCTCCCCTTCCGCACCAACCCCCCCTCGGTCGCTTCGCTCCTTCGACACGGCGTGCGCCCTCATACCATTTTTTTCTAGAAAAACCCCTGATTAAGAATAAGTGAGGATGTCTGTTCTTTTGTGTTTCGTGTGACCTGACACAAAGCCTGTGCAGGTTCACATTTGTCAGATTCAACCGAAGCAGCTGGACAACAGAGAAATGCGCTCACTCCAAGGTCACTTTAACAATGGTAATAAGGGCTGCTCTTTCATTTCACCGCACATTTACTTTATCAGTCATAGAATTAGACTAGAAACCATCTGTTCATAGCCTTTATATCTAACCTTCACGCCTTAAATACACGCTCTGTCCAACAGAGGTAATGTCAGGTTGATTTTTGGGGGGATAAAAACTTTTGAGATACTGTACATCACTAAGGATGATCTTACCACAAGAGGTTAAAATTAACATATTCGTCAAACACATAGGCCCCTAATAAAGTATCACCTCTGGGAATTCTTGTAGTCTTTTAGGCCACATTCACTCAATCCATCCCCAAAGAGATCAATGAAGCAGAGAAAATATTGAGTGACAACAAGCGAAGCCAATGCGTGACACAGAGAGGGCAGGCAAGAAAAAAAAAATCCCGCTCCAGTGTCTGTATTCGTATGCAGTACATGCTTTGTGGTCAGTCTTAGTATGTGCTGTGCCTGGCTGAATGCCGTCTACTGAGTTTTCCTGTTTTGACAAGGCAGGAAAAAGAGACAGAGACAAGCGGTGAAGCAGCGTGTCCACATACAGTATGTGTGTGCTCTGTGTGACCAAAACAAGAGGTAGCAAGACGGTGAAAGGATCACAGAGACTGAACAGGTGTGTCGATGTACACGTGTGACTGACAAAGCTGACATGTGAGAAAAATAGAGGTAAAAAGGAGGAAATGAGTGATAGCTTTCCCAAGACAAGATAGCAGGTAGATAGCAAGTGACAGAGAGAGTATCGTGGTATGGAGGCTGATGAAAGAAGACAGGAATCAGAAAAAGAGCAGCAAGAGACCTTCAGCATGCGAGGAAGACGTTCTTACCTGATCTCTTGTTGTCTGTAGAATTGTAGAGTTCGCTGCAGAGCTTCCTGAACAGTCTGTGTCTGCAAGAAGACGTGAGAACATCAGTTTCAGCGTTGTTTATTTTCAGTAAATCCCTACAGTTTATTTCTCATTTCAATCGCTAGGTTTTATGATAAACGGCAAGGCCCCACTGCTTTGAGATGTAATCTACCGATCGTCCAAATGCGCTATTGCAGCCAAGGCAAGATTCATATTTAATGGTCCTTTTTCACAGAAGACATTTTGGCCAGTCGCAGTATAGCACAGGTGTGAATAAAATGAATGATGGCTGACTTCCATTTAGCTGCTTCAGTTTCTGGATCCTGTTAACGTGCACGCCAGTTGACTGTCTAACTGTACCGGATTACTGGTGTAATTAAATAGAAGAGAGTCATTGTTAATGTTATGAGTAACACCTGTACTTTCTCTGTTACAATTCAAAATGTCTGATGTGAAAAAGATTTATTGGTAAGGCAACAGATTTTCTAAGAAAAACTGAAGCGAATACTAACCATTTCTGTACTTTTTTTTTTTTTGGCATAAACAAATCAGAAAAACTGCTATTTATGCCATTAATTTCACCCTGTACTTGTGACTATCTGGCCTTGAGGAAAAAACAAAGGTTCCTATATCAAAGTAAATCTTGTTTCTATATTGTATTTAATATTTCCTTTTTTTTAAGTCTGCAAAAAAGAAAAAGAGTTGCTGATAATGATAAATATTTCAAGATGACCCTAATATACCCACAGTTTGATGTGTGCATGTGTGTGTTTATGTGCGTGCAGCCAGCGTGTTTTGTGTTACTGACAGCCAAAGCTTGAGAGGGCGGGTCCAATGTGATTATCTGTGATACGGCCGAAATGAAAGGCTGTAGTGACAATACTAGAACACAGTGTGCCAGCTGGAGAGGTCATTCTGAGGCCTCCACCCACAGACAGATACTGGAGTGACTGTGTGTGTGTGTGTGTGTGTGCGTGTGCGTGTGCGTGTGCGTGTGGGTGTGTGTGTGTGTGTGTGTGTGTACATTTGTCCAGCTATCTTTGTGAGGATTGGTTTGAGTTGTACATCACTGGAGTGACGACACTTTGGCCGGTCGTGACTTTTTCACATTAGGATTTTGTTTTATGGTTAAGGTTAGAAGTAGGTGAAGGTCAGGGCTGCACAATAAATCGTTTCAGTAATGACATAGCAATGTAGGCATGCACAGGACTTCTAAGTGTAATGTGAAGTAAGGCAAATGAACTCATCATGCTACAACTTTTTGGCTGCTTGATGCAAAAAGAAGACTTGCTCATTTTTACCAAGTCATCTACAAGAGAAGGCTGTCTGCTAAAACATAACTGAATATACTTAGATCTCTCAGAGTTGTGCTTTGTTTTGTTTTGTTTTGTTTTTTACTTTACAAAGAGGTTGTTGATATACAGGCTTCACAAGTGTACAGTAAAATGAGCAAGGAACAGGAGAGAAACACTTTGCTGTGTTGGCAAAAACAAACACAACATCAGTTGTGTTGAAGTATTTTGCCTACAGAAAGAATAACGTTGACCAAAAACCAGTACTGTGTCAACAGCATCTTGCAGTTGTTAGCACCTCAACAATACAAATTTGTTTGACCATTTAAATCAGCACCATAAAGTTCTGTATGACCAGAGCAAAGCTAGATCTAAATGCCTTGCAAACCTCTGCCAGGGTGGGACCATAGTAGAAACGTTTTTTCATTGCGGCAACACTCCACCTCAAAATCCCCTCAAATCACTTTAGAATGATTCATTATATCCAAATTGAGTTAAAGTCATTTGGTGGAAATGCCAGTATTTTTTCATATCACAATAGACATTACAGGAAAACTAAATATGACAATGCCAGCTTTTGCAAATATCATGCAACCCCAGTTTGGGGTTGGGTAAGAGATGGGGTTAGGCCAGGGGTGTCCAATCCTGGTCCTTGAGGGCCACAGTCCTGCATGTTTTAGATGTTTCCCTCTTCCAACACACCTGATTCAAATGATCAGCTCATCATCAAGCTCTGCAGAAGCCTGATAACGATCCTGATCATTTGAATCAGGTGTGTTAGAAGAAGGAAACATCTAAAACATGCAGGACTGTGGCTCTCGAGGACCAGGATTGGAGACCCCTGGGTTAGGCACTTAATAGTCATGGTCAAGGTTGAGGTAGGAGGCTTGGGACTGCTTCATATTAATGAGGGTCCTCACAGAGCTAGCGAATGAGAAGAGAGAAACTGAGAGTGAGATATGGGGATGTAGAGCAAAAACATGAGGCGGTAAGAGAAGACGGGCAGCGTGTATGCAGAACAAATTTGTAAGTGTGTTAACAAGTGTTCTAAAGGGGAAGATAGTTCTTTGAGTATCACGTTGAACAAGGGTTGGACGTCATATTGTAGCCAACCAAGTGGACAAAGCAATACTTCTGTCCAGAGCCACTTGAAACAATAGCCACTGATACCAAATTTTTTAGCACTTTAAGCAACACCAGCCTCACTTCCATTCAGCAACAACAGGAGCAAGATGTGCACTTTATACCAGCAACTGTGTCGTCATGACAGCTGAAAATATACCCAGTGGGCCATGCTTTCACATGCTGTTTGTGAGGGGGAAAAAAAATCTGCTGTTACTCTCTGTCAAATCTCTGTTCCCCACATCTGTGTGAATGTCAACAATATATTTGTGTGTTCGCATGTAGAGCAGAAGAAAGTTTTCTCATGCAAGCTACATCTTACTACGTCCTTCATGTAGCTACTTATTTACCACAGAGGATGTAGAATACATGACCAAACACATAGGCACAAACTGTTATCAGCCATACACACACATGTGCAAACATACTATACACATATATCATCATTAGTCTGCATTGTTACATCACTGGCATGTTTACTATATACACAACTTGATACCCGATCACACATTAATCTCACTGTCACACACACACAACCATGCTTAGACAGCAGGGTTAAGTGAGCCAATCTGGATCCCCTGGATGTTGGGATAAGTTGTTATAATACACAAGTGAGAGCCACAGAATCATGGTGATAAACCGAAAGTGTCTAACTAAATTAAGATTCCAAAAGTATTATATAATGACAGCCATGATGACAGTTTGGAGACTGGTGAATGTGGTGGTGGAAAGATTTTCATTAAAAAATTGGGGTATCTTCAGCTTTATTTCTCACACTCCTCCTTTATTCCCGTCCTTTCTTTCCCTAGCTACCATCGTCTTTATCTAAATCACTCTGTCTCTTTTGTTTGCTCTGTTTCTTTACCTTGGAAGGGAAACAGAATCTCACCATTACTTGTTCCATTCCTCTTCCTCTGTTGCTCTGCATTGCTATTTTTCCCTGTGAGATTTAGTCATGCTGTTCCCCTACTGTATGTGAATCTGCCTTTCTAGTCTGACTGATTCCCTTTAACACAAACACAAGCGCATACAGCGAAGTTGACCTGCTCCTCCTTTCCTCCTTTTATTGCATCTACTTCCTCTAAATTTCCATTAGCATGAACTGGTGTGGTCCATGGCCACAGAGCAGTGGGCACCGGCGCTTCAGCACAGTCAGAAAGCTGCCGGCGCTTCTAAAGAAAATAGAAACTCATATGCCAGATGAGACCCTGCAAGATAAATCCCAGCATGAGATAATAAATGAGTGATGAGTAATAAAATAGGTACAAAGAAAACAATTCTGTTACATTCTGCTTTGTTTTATCAGGATTTTTAGTTCGTCTATGAGCATAGTTCAGCAATCAATGCAACAATGAAGCACGGCAGCGTTAGCGGTATAATACAGCCGGTGTGTCAGACATGGCAGGTGTGAATATTTGATGATATCTAGCTGTTGTCAGCCAAGACGGCTGAATGCATTTACTGTAAATCAGTTTGGATGAAGGTGTCTGGATGCATGACCTGAACATTTCTGTGTTATGCTTCAGTCACATTTGTTGATTATATACTTTATACATTCTATTTTATATATTTTTGACCTACCTCAGGACAAGAATTGAATCAACCAGTTGACTTGCTCAACGTGCAGGTCCAAACAACACATAGTTGAGGTTTAGGAGTTGTACGAGTCACTCCCGAGTCCCCACAACTAACATTTAATTACAAGTTCTTTCTCTGCACTGCTTCACAGATTCATTTATTGTACCTTTAAGGAGAAGCTTTGTTCCAGCTTAACTGGTTAAGTAAATGATGGCCACTGGGGAGAAAATTCTGTATTATTAAAGTAAATAAAAAGGAAAACATGCAAGTTGTGAGCCCTTAAGTAGATCAATGACAACACTGTGCCTTGCTTAATTACGGGCCCATTAGCTGCATCTATCTAACTCTACTGTAGACCTTAGGGATGCACGATACACCGGCGACCACATAGGTATCGGCCGATATTAGTGTTTTTTCCGATATATTGGTATCGGCCTGATGAACAAATTTAGCCAATGTGAAAAATCGACGGTTGTCTAACATTAGTGCCTTCGTCTCTACATTTGATATTGCTGCTATTTCACCAATGTTTTTACTTAAATGGTCCTGGACTTGGATATTAAATATGTTAAAATGTGTTTTAGTTTTTGTTATGTAATAAAGAAGACTATGTGGTTCAATTTGGTACAGGCTTCTTTTGAATAGTTTTCACATGCTCACAGTGCTTACTTATACTCATTTTTTGGTGTGAACAAATATATAATAATATAATACAATATAATATTAATATCGACATCAGTAATATCGGTTACCAGCAATATCAGAAATAATATTGGATATCGGTATCGGCCAGAAATTTTACTATCGTGAATCACGAGTAGACCTTATAGTACTGCACTCAAAATACTGTAGTGTCAATATTTTTGAAAGGATGACAGTTTCATTAAAGAAAATGCGTTTAAAACCCCAATCAAAGATACTGGATAATACAATTTTGATTATCAACTTTCTTTGTTTTGTTTCTTCCTCAGAGGTGTTTGACACAACATGTGACTCTCCTTTCATACAAAATGAACTGATCATGTGCCGCCTACTTCGTTCACGAGGAACAGGTAGTTATAATGGAGAACTATGAGGAATATAAAAAAATAATATGGGCAAAAGCACTGTTACTACAAATGATGCAAGAGACAAATGCTGGTAGAAATGGTTAATTATGTAAGTTAACTTATTTGATCACTAAGTGCACTCCCAATGCAGCTGCTTATTTGCAACGTGACAGCTGCACATCAGAGCTTTTAAACGTCATACATATAATCATGTTTTTCAATAAGTGCATTTGGGTCTTTCTTAAATTTTTGGGCCAAATACAGAGAAACGAATGTTGATGATTAAATACGCTGCAACAAACACCAACAGACTAATCAATTTTCTAATATGTGTTCTTTTAGATGCAACAACAGCAGTCTAAGACAGGCTTGGCAGCAAATCAACTAAACATAAACACACATATTTATGCATTTTTTGCATCACCACCTAAAAGCATGTGATTTCCAGAGGCATCATACAGTTTGCAATACTGTGACTACATAGCTTCAGTCAGGGATATTACTGATGTATGGCTCAACAGGTTTGCAGACATAACATGTTTCCTCAGCTGGGAATTTGCATCACTCATAGGCAACATCATCAGGAAAAGATCTGGTGAAAGGGTGGAGCTTCGTACAGCTGGTTTAAATCTGCAACTACTGAGCATTTCTTCTGGAGCAGGTCGGCTGTGCTGTAGAAGTTAAAAGGCTAAAAGAGAGACATCTTGAAAATTCTGGCTTAAGGCTCAACATACCTATTATCTCATTAATCAATTAATTAACTAATGATGAAATTAACAATAGGGATGTTACAGTGAATTTGGGGAAAATGCTAAATAGTGCAGATTGTGACTTGGTAAAAAATTCACAGATTCCAAAACAGATGCAGGTATGTTGCTTTTATGATTATTTTTGATGCTGGAAAATGGACATTATGAGTGAATATTCTTCTTTGGTCAAAGGGAGATCACCAGAGGTTGTGTAGATCAGCATGTTCCCTCGCACATTTGAGAAACTATTCATGGAAGGTGTACAAACAGCAGAAACAGAGAAAAAAAGGTAAACTCATAAAAAACAGAGAGGAGAAATATCCATGAACACAGCCAGCATGTGTACATACACAGTGCAAGGAAACAAACTAAGTATGTAGCTCAAAGCATTTGCAGATCTACTGTGCAAAGAGACTGCTTTGTGACGGGGAAGATGTGGACACAGATTTAGGGTGCGGATTTACCAGATACACACACACATTAGCGCGCACACACTCGTCTCACACTTTTCATATTTGTGGCCAACACTCGGGGCCTTTTGATCAACGTCATGGATCAGTAAACTGATGGCCATCTTCCATGTGTATACACGAAAGCCGGAGAGGGGAAGACACAAAAATGAACGTTTGCGCACATGTAAATGTGTGCGTGCGTCCGTCTGTGTGTGTGTTGTTGCTTCTGGGTCATTGTGGTCGGGGTGAAGACAACCACAGAGAGCATGCTCTGTTCCGTCAGTCACGGTCCATTGCAGGCAACAATAGACACTGCCTCTGCACGCACCCACAGTGTGTGTCTGTGTGTGTGAGAGGACAAAAAAGATAATAAACAATGTGTTGTGTGGTTGGTGAGTGTGTGAGTTCTTGAATGAGTGAGTGAGTGAGTGAGTGAGTGAGTGAGTGAGTGAGTGAGTGAGTGAGTGAGTGAGTGAGTGAGTGAGTATTTTCGTGTCTGTTGGCTACTTTGCACCTGCATGTTGCTACTCACGACAACAATTACATTTCAGTCACTACTCGTTTGTACTATAAATGTATTTTAAAAGAGGGCAAACATTAAAACCATGTATTAGAAGAGAAACAGCTGTTAGCCAGAGAGTTTTAGCAGCTCCATCTCAGTCCAGTTCACCACAAACAAACACCCATCAGATACTGGAAAAAAAAAAAAGACCTTGGACATTTAGCCTTTCTTTGTCTCTGTGACCAAAGCACACCATAATGACCCTTACATATTAGAATAAAAAAGGCTCCATTGATGCCAAACTGTCGCCTGTAATTGCACTCACAGGCAAAGAAGCACATACCTGCATGCAGACAGGCACGCACACACACAAAGACACACAATGTCGCCCACATGTAAATGACGGATATTATCATCGAGTGCTATACAAATCTGTCTTTAAGTGTTCCCCTCTTCCCTGTTTTTTTTCCACAGATCTATTAAAGATCAGGGCGAGTAAGAGCTGCACATGAGAGCTGAAGTTGGCTCTCAGTGGTCCTCTCCAATATACCGCACACCAACTTCAGTTTGTTAACTGTGCTTTTGAATTTCATTATTTTTGCGAGGTAGCGCCTGGGCAACACACAAAAAAAAGGGCTGACTGCTCTTGTACATCGATTGCAATGCAGCATTTATTCCTCTCAGGAATGGGAGCTCAGGAGCTTCGGAGAAACATATTCGCACAACTTCCCATAGTCTGGTGAAAACACAGCAGTGCTTTTATTGTGTGGAGAACAAACATAAACAAACCTGGAACCTATGTGGGCTCAAAAATTTTTTAAAAAATGGGCATCAAAGTAGCATTCTACACTACAAATATAGCTCTGCATGTTTTAACAAGACTACTGAAACGCATGGATATCATGTTGTTGCCCTAGTTTTGCGTTTACCAATTCCTGCCATTTTAAATAATAATGCTAACAAACCAATCACCAAAAACATTCCTCTCTTTAATCACCTACATCTCCTTATTAGAACAATGATAATGACACTGAAGGCAACATTTTTTTTTACATCTGCATTGAACCATGTGGCTCACAGTAATGGAAACTGTTTGCTAGCACTGCTGCTACCCATGAAAATCAACACTGTACTTCGTAGCTCTACGCCTTCAGCTCTTGTTTTGGTTATCTGGAGTGGCAAAATTAAGCACTGTCAGCTTATATTAAACCACAGCCAGCCTGTCACACACACAGCCTGTTTATGATCTTAAGAACCAAGTGTTAAATGACAGAGCAAATGGTTGAAGAAAGCCCAACATCAAGTGAGCAAATGAGACCCCAAACATGGAGTAAAACATCTGTGAATACTGCAATCACAGGCAGTCAGCAAGAAGACGACACCATGATGCTCGCGTTGCTCTGTTGTTGTTAAATAGTTGCTAACTAAAATTATAAAATGTTGGGAAGAAAAATGCTGTCTGCAGTGAGCCCTCTAAAATAGCTTTTAGCGGTGTGCCGCGACTATCTGAGGATGTCACTGTTCATAGGCTACTGTTTTGGGTTTTGTTTTTTTAATTACTGGCACAAAAGACACAATTTCCCATGTTTGACCACATTTAGGTGTCGCTGGAGATTGGCTGGAAATCTCAGAATGAAGCTTGGACTAAAGTGGGTCAGATCTTGAGCTTCTGTCACATCTTCAGCATCCTTCAGTTTGAAGCTGTCATATAACGTCAGATCTGGATGACATTAGTTTGCTCTGTCAGTCAATTTAACCTTTTAACTTGCAATTCAAAGCCACCAAAATGAATCATTTTTTCTGGTGCAGCCTTAACCTTCTGCAGTTCTATCTGGAATTTGAGCACAGGCCTCCTTCCCACAGAATCAGCTGTGATTGAAAAGGAAAAGTGAATATGACACGAATTGTGAAAAAATGAAAAGACAGATTTACACCTAGAGCTAATTGGCGTACACTTTAATATCACAAGTACGTAGCTACCACTGAGTTGATGGGATAATTTGTTAAATATTCATCTAATTATCACAGAAGCACTGCGTCTTTTCAAAAAGTCTTGTAGAAGTGCCAGAGAAGACGAAACATTAACACAATTGATAAATCGTCATATTACAACGCATGTGAAAGTTAATGCCCGCTCTCTAATTGTATTTCTGTTCCATCCCCATCTAGGACATCTGTCTCTCTACTTACATTTTTTTGTTGAGCAACTACATAACAGCAGATGCAATCAAATCCCAAACCAATGCAGCATCACAAAGGACTTTGCAATAGCAAATTCCCTAATCACACACCATCCATCACAATTGCACTCAGTTCTAATAGCGGCTTTATTGCATTACAGCCTGTAATACAAGTGAGACTCGGATAGAACCGAGACAAACAAACATAGAAACGGCTCATTCGTCACACTCCTCACATCGTTACATATACTCAGAGCATGGGCATCTCTCTCTCTCTCTCTCTCTCTCCCTCACAACAACATATTTATTATATAATCTGCCAGATGATTCAGGCTATCAGAGGTGAAGGATGAAAAGAGGCTGTTTTCATCGACAGCACACATCAGATCATGGTGTGAGAAAGAGACATTGTCTGGGATTTTGGAGAATGAGGTGGAATGGCTTCGATATTGTTGTTTTTTTTTCAGGCTGTGTTCCTGAACTTTGGTGACATCTCTGTGCAATGGAATAAATGCCTCTGGCTGTTTGATTATCATAGGGGCTGGTTCTCAGCTGAAATGTCAGCTCTGACTGTACTACACAGTATGAAAAATACATTTTTAACAGATTTCCAAGGAATGCTCCACAAACGTAGGATGAAACTGTCAGTTTTGTCAGTCAGTATACCACAGGGTGTTATCAATTTCACTATTTAGCAGCTCAACACTGGTTAAGTCATCATGGTGCACAAGGAGATAAGACTTTATGGCACTAGCATACAACTTTTTATGGGAATATTTAATGAGGGCACTGATCTGGAAGCCTACCGTGGGTGAGGTCAGCCTCCTCAGGCTCTCCCCCAGCGAGTCGAGGTTCACCCGTCTCCTCCTGGTGACCCTCTTGTGGGATCCACCGGGCGCCTGCTGCTCGTCGCCCGCCGGGCACGCCGACCTCTCGGCGGGGCTGCGGCCGTTCCAGAGCACCGCTCTGTGGGCGGACGGGAAGGAGGAAAAGGGGCAGCCTCGGCTCTCCTCCGCCGGCTCCAAACCGCCGTCCCCCGCGTCTCCCCCGGGGCTTTCGAGCCCGCAGTCCGAACCCACCGAGCTGCTGAACGACTCGGAGGAGATCTTGCGCGACGACGAGGACATGTTGAGGAGGAAGAGGAGGAGGAGGAGGAGGATGGTGATGGCAGTGGAGGTGTTGAGGATGGTGATGATGCTACAGTCGGCTCCGTACCACGTCCACCTGTGCGCCGGGGAGTCATCAGATAGAGGGGTGGGAGGGTTGGCGGAGGGCTGGATGGGTGAGAGGGGTAAGGTCCGTCTGTGTGATTATGTATGCATGTATGTGCGCGTAAAAATAGTGTCCAAGCGCCTGTGTGTGTATGTGTGTGTGTGTGTATGTGTGTGTGTGCATATGAGATGCGTCTGCCTGCGTGTGAGACTCAGCAACCTATTCAGAGGCAGAGGGGGGGTCGACCGAGCGCGAGAGCACTAACGGCACGCAAACATTTATGTAAGGGGCAGGAGGTGGGGGGGCAACCGTCCTGCTTTACCCCCCCAAAAAAACCGCGTCCCCGGGTGGCCAAACACTCTCTAATGGACGCCTCCTGTCAATAAACACAGAAATAAAAAAAAACAGACAACCCCCTAGCGACTGTGTTTACCTTTAACGAGGCGTTTTTTTTAAAAAGATTAAATATGGACTATTTTTAAACTATTTTAAAAGCAGCCCAGAAGAGAAAGGTCGCCATAACGGACAGCATGTTGGTCCTCCGTGGTAGTCCATCTTAATTATTCCTCTCACACGCGGGGAATTTTTTGGCATCTTCTCCCCCCCTTCACGCTGCCGGAGAGAAATCCCCAAAGTCACCGCAGATGTGTCTGCCTCCCTCCCTCCCTGCCTGCCTGCCTCTCTCCTCCTCCTCCTCCTCCTCCTCTTCTTCTTCGTCCTCTGCGACAGCGGTTCTCCTGTCTGCCAGATAACCGTCCTCTCATCGTTCGTCCATCGTTTTCCCCCCCTCTCTCTGGCGCTCCGTATCCCCTCTCCCCGTTGCTCCCGGTGGCTGCTCGGTCCTCCGGTTTCTCGGTCTGCGCCGTTACACAGAGGCGGCTGATGTGGAGGTGCGCGAGACGACAGAGAGAGAGAGAGAGAGAGAGAGAAAGAGGAGGAGAGAGAGCAGCAGCAGCAGCACGCGCCGGTGATGTGCAGATATGAGCGATCCGCCGAGCGCGCGCTGTGAAGTACGCGTCAAGGTGCTGCTCGACGTTGTAGTTGGACAAGAAGCCCGAACCAATCAGAGGACAGATGGATAGATGGCTCGCGCGTTTAACACAGGCTGATAGCTTTTGTCACAGATTGAAATTTCAATCTAAAACTACCTAAAAACCCTCCGACACCTTTTCTCTTATTTACCTGTTCTTTAACTGCTGCAGTGACGCTGGAATAACAATAAGAATAATAATAAAAGAACAATTTTTAAACAGTTTTTAGCGTCTTCTTTTTTAAAATAATTTTTTTTTTAAATTACACCTATTATTTTACAGATTCTCCTTGTTTTGTTGAATTGCACATTGTAACTGGTAGTGATTTATTTTAAGTATTAACTTGAAAAAAAACTGTAAACAACGTCCAAATCAAGAGTTTGCATTTTCAGAAATGGCAATTTTTTCTTGTATAATTCTTGACTGTAAAATGATACTATTTTAATCAGCAAATACGATTGTTATCATGCATTTATCTGTCATTATTGTTACAATGCTGTTACAGTATTTCATTGTTTTTTCTAGATTTTTTTTCTACCAGATTTTCACCATTTTATTTATTTATTTATTTGTTTGTTTGTTTGTTTGTTTATACTGTGCACAATGTCTTGTTTTTGTTTTTTGCCTTTCCTTTTTTGGGGCTCACTCACTCTTGTTATTTGAACTCATAGGTTTTCAGTAAATTTACCTGACAAGTTTATATAATATTTTTCTTTTATTAGTAAATATATGTATTACATTTAAATAAATAAAAAAAAAAGACTGAATTTAATGTTAGGGTTAAAAAAAAATCAACATTATTTCAGATATTGTAAACATAGCCCACCTGAATAACTTCAATATTAAGGTTAAGTGTATTATTTACTCTAGAAATTACCTGACTAGAAAATCAAATACTCTACCAAATAATACAAAGAAAACCTAATAAATCCAAAGATTCTCTATAAGAGCAAGCATATTGACTACAGTGGAGAAGAACTCCCTTTTAACAGAAAGAAACCTCCAGCACAACCAGGTTTAGGGATTGTCTTTTCACACCATGTCCATCCAATCGTTTGTTTCTTTTGTTTGGCTGCAGGTTGTGGGTCAGTACTTCATTGTTCAGCAGTTTGTACCATTTGTTTCCAGAGATCCTCAGAGTAGGTTTCATCCCTGCAGTCTTTAAGAGTCTGTACAAGAGCTCCAGCTAAATCCACAGCTAAACCTAAATCATACACACTTTCACAACTAAACATGTACAGCAGAAATAAGCAAATAAAGAAACTGTATATATTTTTTTGCCATCTACACACTTTTCAATCTGTGAATTGCATCTGTATGGGAGCAAAGGCCATAGAGAAATGGTTCTGCTATAAGGAGTTCTGTCAGAAGAAGAACAACTACTGGATGCAGCTCCACTTCCATGAGCACAGTCCTCTAGAAGGGATCACCAGTGGTTGTGAGAGGCAGCCAGACTATAGTCTGAGGAGGCTCTGGTCTCATCCGGTGCTCTTGAGTTATTCTACTGATTTTTTTCATAAGTTGAAATTTCCACCCAGGTCTACCTACAAAGCCTTCCACTTTTCCTCACTGTTCATTTATATAACCGTTCCATTGAATTTTCTGTTAATTCTGTCTTTGAAGGATTAATGTTTCAAGTCAAGTGGAGAAACACAGAGTGCCTTTCATATATTTAATGTTTAACTTTAATTTATAATATAATATAATATCCCAATGAACCTTTAAATCGAGACACTACAAAAACATAACGTTAGCCTGATAGCATACTTGCCTAAGTCCTATTTTCATGTTTTTGGGAAATGAGAAAATCACAATTTTTAGAAATTACATTGGTATTTATTATGGATTTTTTTTAACGGTACATTCAACCAGATGTGATTGGCCAATGACATAGGTAGAAAGGCAGGATGATGCAGAAGTGATAGGAGAATAAAGTTAGGCAAATATCTCAACTTGACCAAAAAATGACTTGGGCAATTATGCTATGAGGCTAACGATAATTTTTCATGCACTGGTCAAATGCGAGATGTCACAGCAATTAGGTGTTTGTTTTGCTACATTTTGTCTATTTGCATCTGTACGTGTCAATTATAATACATATATAAATGCTATATTCTCAATTTGAATTTTCTTTCATATTCTGAACCAGAAATTTCAACTTCAGCAACACATACATACACACACACACCAGATTTTTTATCCTAGAATATCCTGTCTATATATTCTCATGGTTTTTACAGAATTGTTTGCTTTATTCCTAAAAAAATATGAATAAGAAAATGATTCATTCCTGCTTTACAGTATTTTCTTATTTAAGGAGTGATAAAAGAGAGAGATAGAGGGAGAGAGAAACCCCCCATGCATAAACCTTTGGGCCTTACAAAATGAAGTGAACATTCTAAAGCTGTTTTCATCCATGTTCAGATTTCTGATCTGGAAATAAATGCAAATTATAAAAATAGTAATTCATTTGCATGTTAAAACATATATTTTCAGAAAACGTGTAACACAAACAATTGTTGCCATGTTGTAAGTAATCAATTGGGAGAGTTTAATGGTGACCAATGGGTAGTGTCTCCCTTTAATTACCAACTAGTGAGGAGGATAACTGCTTCTCAGACTCCTGCACACTGTCTAACTTACAAAAATACATTTATTGGCGACATTTCAGTGGTAGACCTTCATTAGGTAAATTATAAAAAACAAAATAAGCCATTTTGACTAGAGAGTGGCATGAATTAGAAAACATTTCACCGAATTACAATTTTCAATAACATACAAAAAAAAAAGAAATAAAATTTAGAAAATATCTAAATATATCCAACAAACATACTTACATAACATTGGTAAAATCTTAAGATATAAATACCTAAATCCCACCAAAGGAAAAAAAAATTATTCTGAAAAAACCTAAACTTGCAGGTTGCATTATGTAGAAAAACCCTCAATTACAATGAAGAGAAATCCCCCCTTAAAAAGCACAAATAAAATCAATAATAAACACAACAAAGAGGAAAAGGCTAACATCAATTGTAAATCATCACAATTACAAATTTCCTCTCCCCAGCACAGTATATAAATGCAGTCAGAATCTAAGCTAATGTAGACATGTAGCATTATTCCTAATGAGGTTTAGCACCAAACATCTCAAATAAACGTGTTTTTGCAAGTTAGAAAGTATGCAGGAGTCTGTTTGAAACTCAGTATGTAGCTGCCATGCACAGTCTGCTTTATGCGATGTACCTAATGAGAACATCTGAATCTGAAAGGGTTCTATGTGGGCCACTTGCCCTCATAGAGACAAACACCGCGATGCAACCATATCTGTGTGAATGCATCGGGTACGTTTCAACAGTGCATTTAAAGAAAAAAAAAAAAGGACTTATAGTTGTTTAGTAAACTGCCTGGTCAATATTCCTCTTTATTGCTACTTACTGTCATGTACAGTGACATTTTGGGCAGACAACACCCAAGTTATTGTTCCTCAATTAAATAACTGCAAAAGGCAATCAAGCAGCATCTGACTGTAATCAAACGACAGTCATGGTCAATAAGCCAGCTCCGTGGCAGTGTGCCAAATGTGTTCAACATGGGCATACACGAACAAATACGACTCCGCGGGCACATAATGGAGCTTGCAGCGGTGGTACACGCTTGTTGGCTCCCATCAGAGGACAGAATGATGCTCATGTCTGGCACTAACAACGGCCACGACCTTGACCTCAATTGGCAGAGCATGTCTGTTCATTAAGGGCCTCAAAGGGAGACGCAGAGAGAGACGCTGAAATGAACGTGATGCATGGCGCCAGTGCATGCATGTAAAGCACAGTGTCAATTCCTGTCATACATTTGACTTTCTGCAGCAGCATGACCCCAATCCATTGCATAGAATTTTGCTCCTTCTCTCTTTCTGTCTCTAACAAACACCCACACACACCATTTCTCTCACACAGAACATGCGCTAACACACACCCTAACTCTCTTTCTCTTCCCTTATCTGGTTGCTTGCTCTTAGTAATCAGTCTGCCGTCCATCAGTAATAATGTGGGCATTTAATAAAGCCAACACTACAATGGAATAAATAATGTTCCAGAGAAGATAAGCCCACTAGCTGAGGGACTGCTTTGTAGCTGGCTGCCTGCCATCTACAGCTGAGTGCAGACAGGGCAATAGATCAGTAACTGTGCTATCGTGGAAGCAGAACAGATAGAAAGGGCAGCTTGTGGTAATCCCACTCAATAGGTGCATCTCACATGGATGACATCCAATTTTAATAACATCAACGTGGAAATAAAGTAATTGAGGCAGCTCAACTCTGATTCTCATTGACACTGCTTTTATGAGAATTAAAAAGGACTGATGCAACCACGGGGTATAATGTGGCTCATGTAATTATGATTTTATGTAAGCTATAACACAAACAGAGAGTAAAATGTCCTGATTTTAAGTACGAAAGCTAAAACGTCTATGTTCTATTAGTCAGTGAGGGATGATTTTAATTATTATGAAATGATCTAGGATGTAAACAAACAAGGCCCAGTCCTGATCCACAGCAACGCAAGTTTACTTTAAGCCATATTTATTATTAATTTAGACATTTTTTAAATATTAGGCAATACGTTTTGCAGTATTGCGATAAACAGGCCCAATAAAGAGCACAAGGGAAAGAACTAGTTGATTTACAGCATCATCTCAGGTATGACCCTGCATATTCACATGGAGCCTAAAAGACTGGATTCTACAGGAGAACACAAACATTCAAAACAAACGCATCCCAAAAGAAAAAGCGACAAATCCATATATAGACAAAACCACACCGTTACAGAAACTGAGCGGTTTCAGCCAGTAAAAGATGAAGAGTGTGCAGCTGTGGAATGCAAGAAGATAAGGAAGGTTCAGCCCCATGACACACACCAGTGAGTCAACTCCAGCTGCCTTTTTAGATCTTTCAGTTCTCTTATGTGTGTGTTTCTGTGGCGAGTGTTGCTATAGGAGGCGTGTCAGTTTCAAATTTGTGACTGAGAACACATATTGTCTAATCTTTCTGTCAACTACAGTCGTCCTCAAATGTATTCATAGCCTCCCATTAAAGAAGGAAAAAAAACAGGTGTCACTGAAATAAGTTGAAATTAACAAAAGCAATAATAAATAAAATTGTAATAAAAATCATGACATTGCTTTAAATTGTGGTTCAACAGAATTATTAAAAGAAATCAACAAAAAAAACAAAGAAGCATGATGGGACTCGTAAACTAATATTTTGTTGAACAACCCTTTGAGTCAATCACTGCAATTAAGTGTTTTCTGTAACTCTCAATCAGACTTCTGCACCTGTCGACAGGTATTTTGATTTTGACCCACTGCTCATCAGCAAAGTGCTCTAATTTTCCTGGGACAGTTTTGTTTGTTTTTTATCTTTTTGTTTTTTGTTATTATTATTCTTTCCCTATATTGATGCAAAGGGAATTATAAAAAGAAGAAACTAGAGAGCTTAAAGGGGAGTGACTGAATATAGCAGATACAACAGCAGGGTGTGAGGGGGTTGCAAAATAACACTATAAATGACGTGTGTGTGTGTATGTGTGTGTGTGTGTGAGACAGGAAAAGACAAACTGCCGACTTGGTCATAAATCTGCCCCCAGCCATTCTAATTGGCCATAACCATACATCACTCCACGCCACTCCGCTGCTATTAACCATGAACCCTTGCCTCTCTGTCACTTGCGCAATATAAATAACCAACTGTACTGTCCCAAGGGATGGTTTTTGTAAAGTACAAACAGGGTTAAAGAGTATGAAATTGCGTGATGTGATGTTACACTAAAACCTGCATCACAGATTCAGCTCAATTTCCTGAAAATGACCACATTAGGATGCGACCTCTGAATGCGTGCATTGACTGCGGGATACATTATATACATTATATTGAAGGAGTGGGAAATGGGGCCAGCTGACAAACTGAATTAGCGCTGATTTACGACAGAGGTGTCCTTCTGATGCAAGTATAAATGATAAACAATCCACAGAGCATTGACTGGCCGGCTGCGGGGACACTGTGGTCACCGTGACTCGCTCATCTTCACAGCGAAACAGGTCGAACTGAGGTGATTGTATTTATATTTTTTTACCCTACCCTATTTTTTTTTTTTTTTTATTATATCATTTTTGGTCTTATTTTATTTTTATTTTATCATATCTGTTGCTTTAGCTCTGGATCTGGGAAACGGTGTCTCATTTCACTGTGTACTGTACAGCTGTATGTGGTTGAAATGACAATAAAGCTCTTTGAATCTTGAAGTCATCATAATAGTTCACAATGATGCACAGTGCCTCTTTTTCGGGGCAATGACTTAAAATAAGAGCAGGTTTAGGAAAATATTGAGAATATATTAAAAGTCAAAGACACTACGAGAGCCAACATTTCACTCCTGTGGATTTAAAAATAATTCAAGGTGATTTTTATTTAGGGACAGAAGGTGATTAAACTGTATCGACAGAGATTTTTATCACGGGTTTAGAATGTGCAATGATTGTCCTCACATACATGAACAACTCATAGAATCTACCTGCTGGATCTATTCATGTCAAGTGTCTCCCCTGGGTTTCTGAGAAGAGGGACTGGTTGTCTCTATTTACTGTCACGCCAGAGAGCATGTAAAATCCTGATTCTGACACCTTTACCCTCTTCCCTGTGACTACATATACAAATGCTGCAATAAAAAGTGAGGCCTCCTCTTTTGTGATTCGCATAAATTCAGCACTAACCAGCGGCGCCCATGCATCAAACGGCGTCTGAGATGAAACCGGGCAGCGAGGTGAGTCTCTGAAGTGGTGAGCTTAATCAAAGAGCCAATAGCCGAGTTGGAAAAAAAAAAATGATGAGGTCGCAAGCCGGGGCAGCGTTGTCGATTGCTCATGAGAGGGGTGTATGTGCGTCAGACAAGGTGTGAGGGTTGCGATGCTGTGACATGTGTGCATGTATACACACTTGCCTGTGCCACTGCGATGACACTGAAACCTCTCAGAATTAAGTGACAGCTGCAAAGGATCATGAGGCCACCAAGTAAGAAATTAAATCCCAGGGCTGGAGAGCAGGGAAGGGCAGTATTGGAAAAGGAGGCTTGAAAGATAGGGGGTATGACATACAGACAAGAGCTCCACCTCATATCTCCTCTCCGCTATCCACCACTGAACTGTGTACGTGGTTTAAAGCGAGAAAATATCAGTTAAGTCAGAATATGTTTGTCTGAAATGCAATACTGCATTAAAAAGAAAAAACACAAACATCTCTTGCACCTACTAAAAGTCATTTTATTCATTTTTCTTTAAGTAAAAATGCTCTCATTTCTAACTACTAATAGGAATTTTAAATCAAATTGCAAATTTGTAGGTGAAACGGTGTCTACACCTTTTTCACAGAATGTTTTTTCTGCACTCGGAACCAAGTTTGTGTATTTACTCTTCACGGTTCAGCAAAGCCTTTCTCTGAGTGTGTCTTCAGCTAACCCTCGGTCTTTGTACAGTCGTATGGTTTCCACCACTGTGCAAACTGCAGGACTTTTTTCCTCTGATCGTCAAAATTTTCTCTAATCAACTTTCTCCAGCGCCGAGGCTCCAAGTCCATCATGCCTCCTACCACTTCCTGCGAAGAAAAGAGGGATTGATCACATCAACATGCTGTAAAAAAAAAAAAAAATACATAGAATGCTGGTTTGGTGGTTGAAAAACACGACTCTTAAATGTGAAGCAACACTGGCATAACAAAGAACAGCTACTGCAGGTTAGTGAAATCAGAACTGAATTGGTCACATGAGCCATTAATACATTTTTCAATCCAGCGGTACTTACTAAATTGTGATTAGGTTGTTGTAGAACAACTGCTTTATCAATGCAGAACTACATTTTTATTACATTGTTGGAGGAAAAAAAAGCATAAAGATGCATGTTTTATAATAGCCTCATACACCTGCTGACCTTGCCGAAGTAATGGGGGAACTTCTGTTCATTTTCAATGACATGAGCAAACCCTCCCTGGAGTCCAAAGTCTACGGCAAAATACGGCAGACCTCGAGGAACCTAGGAGGGCAATAAAATTAAAATGAGAAATGAACAACAATTAACAAAAATGAGCAATTACAAGAGCGGAAAGGAGCAAGAGGGGAGAGATGAAAGAATGGATGATATAAGACAAGACAGAGAACGGAAAATAAAGAGAAAAAGACATACAGCTTGGCGGACGTCTTTCGAGGAAAGGTCGACGACCTTTTTGTTCATGGCCCATTCCTCATCACACTCCATAATAGCTTTCTGGGGACACACAAACACAGCTGCATTACTACACTTGAGGGGCTATTTAACTGATTTTATGCATTAAACCTTAACCTATCGTGAAATACTCATTCCCAGGACAAGGCTTAACAGAATGAACCTAACAACGATGATGAGAGACACACACCTTAAAGTATATGGGTGCCATGTCGCCCAGTTCTCTGGGTAGAGGGATACACTCGAGGACCATGTGTTGTCTCCTACGTGGGTTCATGTGCGTTTCCATGAACACACAATCCAGATCCTGGGACTCAAACATTCGCACTAAAGTACGCCGGAACAGCTGAGGACAGAAAAGCAGCACAGAAGCGAGTTCAATTATGATTTAAAGTAGCATTTGGTTGTGATTATATCTACCGCTGCTGTAAAACAACAGTCACAGAGGCCGTCACTTTGAACTGGGCTGATGGGGTTTGGGACACTGATTGGCTGACCTGCATTTCTGACCAGACGTCCTCATCCAATCCAGTGGCAGAGCAGTGGTGCTGGAGAGGACAGATGAGACAGTGGCCTTCTGCCATGGACACTCCTGCAGGCAGGCTCAAGTAAGCCTAGACACAAGATCCCAGCAACATTTAGAAATACACTGATTAATGTATACATTTTTATATATCTTGCATTGCTAACATTGCAAAACCTAAGTAAAATTTATGGTACAATAATTACTTATCATATGTGGATGGACATACTGAAAATTACATCTAATTATCAAGTGACCCTCTGAATCCCAAGCAGTTTCTGGCCATTCTTTTGCTTCCGTCACATTTTTCCTCACAGTGGGCCCATTTTTCACGGCAATATAAAGTCTTGCACCTCTATGGAAACAGCACAACCATGACTAGAAGTAGAGGTCATAAAATGTGAAAACAAAACTTGAATTTTTTTTAGTTATTTGTTTTACAAGAATAGAAATAACCTAAAATCACATGTACAATGTTTTTTCAAGTGTCCACAGGTGTTACTAATACTGGAAATAAAAGGTGACTCTACATGCTATGAATAATTAACTATTTACGTTTCTTTTTTTTCAATACTCATCTCCTATCTGCTCTGTGTAAACACAGCCTGCAGTTCAGCCCAGTTAAGCCAAAAAGTCTCTGAATTTTTGCGATGTGAGTGTTGGTCACAACTGAGTCACAAATGGTTTCTAAGATAGACCAAGGAGCACAGATTTTTTTGCTTTTTACAGAATTTGTTTTTTTATTATTATTTTTTAAATGCGGTGTCTAGAATAAAATGACTGATAAAATCCTCACGATTTTAAGGTTAGATTTGAGTCATTTTTCCAACTGAACTAAACGTCACACATGATTCATTCACTGTCAGACAGTTGAAAATCAATTTACTCTTTTTGTTTTTCCAGTTTCTGGCTCTGATAAATGGTGTAATTTTGTCTTCTTTTTTTTAAGACAGCATATCTTTAAAACTTGCAAACTTTTGTAATTCACAGTCAATCATTTTAAATCATCTTCAAAGAAAAAATGTCCAAATACACTGGTTTGAGCTGCAGATATAAATATTCTCTGGTTTATTTTTAAATGTGTGATTGTAAACAAGTGTCCTGGTGGGGGCACCGGGATCTTTCTGCGTGGAGTTTGCATGTTCTCCCCGTGCAGCGTGGGTTCTCTCTAGGTTCTCCGGCTTCCTCCCACACAGTCCAAAAACATGTTGAGGTTAGTTGGTGATTCTAAATTGTCCGTAGGTGTGAATGTGAGTGTGCTTGGTTGTCTGTCTCTAAGTGTGGCCCTGTGATAGACTGGTGACCTGTCCAGGGTGTCCCCTGCCTTCGCCCTGAGTCAGCTGGGATAGACTCCAGCCCCCCCACGACCCTAATGAGGATTAAGCGTGTATAGATAATGGATGGATGGATGGATTGTAAACAAAAACCTTTCGGTGTTGAACTATTGCTCAGACAGAACAAGATAATTAAAAACAACGCTTTTGGGAAAAGACTAGGATTTTTCAACACTGACATTATATAGTCCAAACAATTTACCAGTTCCTAGATAAACTGAAACAAAACACTCAGAAGACCCTCCTTTATGAGAGGACTTGATTGCACACTCCTTAATCAAAATACGTAAGCAATTATTTCCGATTTCTCCAAACAGACTACAGTACATCCACCAGGCCTTACCTTGCTGCCTATTGCCACTATAAGATGCTTCTGTAGATCTGCGCTGCTGAAACAGTGCTGGCATTTATCCATGGAGGCAGCCAGCCTCCTACTCTCCCCAATGGCTCTGTTCCTCATCCTCTCCTCCTCCCTCCCCTCGCCCTCCCGCTGTGCTGCACTCGACACAAACATGTCATCCAGCGTGTAGTTGTCACCATCCGTTTTGCCCATCATCTGGAGAGTAGAGTGGAGTGGTGGTGATGGAGACAACAGGGACAAAAGAGGGGAGTAGAAGTTGGAGAAAAGAGGCAGACATACAAGGAAAAAGAGAGAAAATGACAGAAACCATGAGCAATGTTACTGGAGTGTGATCATTCGTGTCCAGATTTCATGTATTTCTCTCTATTTAAAAAAAAAAAAAAGAGAGAGAAGAAGGAAGATTCTAAAGTATAAATAATGACATTCTGCACTCAAGTAAATTCATTTTGTGGTGTATTTAAGCAAATGATTGGTGTGTTTTAGACGAAACGGAGTTTCTGCTTTTTGTTTTGGACAAAAAAAAAAAAAAAAATTACAAGTGAACTTGAAACAAAAACATGGAAACTACTTCACAGATACAGACCGTCCAGACTAACTGGCTGATAGTTTAATTAAATGATGCATGGAGGTGCTGACGCAACATTACCATCTGCAACACTGCCGTACCATATTGTGTGTTGGTGTGTGTGTGCCTGAACTGCCCTGTATGTAAGATAGCCCCTGTGTGTGTTACCACTAAGAGGCAGGACACCAAATATCGACTCTGGCGTTTCTACGTCTGAGTCTTGTCACCATGGCGACCCAGCAACAGGTTGGAATCTGTGTGTATGTGAGAGAGCGAGAGGCAAGCATGGCTGAAGTGTGTGTCCATGACTCGCTGTGTAGGAGTGAGTGTGTGAGTGAGAGTGAAAATTGGATTAGTTTAGTGACAGTGTGGGAGGGAATGTGTGTGCGTGTGTGTGTGTGTGTGTGTGTGTGTGTGTGTGTGTGTGTGTGTGTGTAGGAGTGAGTGTGTGCAAAGGACTGCATATAAGTGTGCAGCCGCACATACTGCATTTGGCCAACGGAGCGTTTTATTTTCTCACACACACCATCACATGTACTCTCACATGCTAGTAGGCTAGTTTGGTATTACATGGTGCGATAAATCAACCATGCAGTCTGCCTCCACTTTTCATTAGCTGATGATACATGGACGCATTCTTTAAGCAATTTAAATCACATACTGTGAATTCCACTGAGTTCTACAATAGACATACACAACAATAGATCTCTAGTCTGCTAACTTAACTGAATCAGTGTATGGCTTGTGTGCTCCTTAAAAATATAGTGAAAGCAGAAAATCTAATTAAACCGAAACATCTCAAGCTTTTTTCTCCATTCACTCCATAGGAAAACATTAAGGGAGACTTTCATCTCCTCAGTGAGAGACCTTTAGAGACACACCAAGCTGCATTTTTCTATTTTTTAGATACACATTCATTGTTGGTTGTTTGGCCACCAGAGTAACTTCTGAGGGGGGGAAAAAAAAAAAAAAAAGCTGACAAATGTACACAAACTTGTAAAATTTGTGATATGCTCTAATCTAAGATCAAACAACTCAGTCATTTGTTGTTTTTTTTTTTTTTTTCTCCAATATCTGCTTCGTTTGGACCTATAATGTCAAATTCTAAATGCAGCCTTCCACCACAGTGTCACTGGAGAAACATGATTACAACCAATCGGGCTGCAGCTGCAACGAGAGACGTACACGTACACAAGGACAGTAATGAAGAGACGATTGTTGCTTGTCAAAGAAAATGACACAACAATGAAACAAAAAGGTCAGATGAGTAGAGAAGTAAATATGAAGAATACAACACTTGATAAACTGAGAAACAGAAGATGGGAGCACAGTCAGACAGCTATGAATCTTAATGCAATGTCAAAAAGAAATGTGGAAGAATGGATACAGTTGGTGATGTTGAGGTGGTTAGTAAACAGGAGTGAGCTTAGGTGCTACACTTGAAGGAGACATTGGAAGAAGTGAAAGCAGGTGAAGGAAAAGATGAACAACACCAAGCACTCGTCTAGTATAGCAACAAAATCCTACAGGAAAACAGTATTACTTTAATATAATCATGCGTTTGTACATTTTTTTTACAAATAACTGATGAAATCAAACAAAATGTCTAAATTAAGATAAACAATGAAAAAAAACACTTAAAGGTTCCACAGCATGAAAATCCATTTTGTGTTGTTAGAAACTTGGAAGTGTAACGTCAATGCTGTTAAATATGATGATGTTCACTTCTGCCATCCCTCAAACCCCCCAAAACTAGATAGCCTCCCAGCTTTACAAGCCTGAAAGAATTTTACTAAATTGTTTTGTTCCAGCTGACTAATCAATAGTCTGGCTCAAACTTTGCATAATCCTGTTCCCTCACAGCTTCCAGGTGAGCCATTCTGAAAGAGCAGCTTCCTTGCTGTCTGCCGAACTTATTTATTTTCTGCTACTGCTAATTCTCAAATGCCTCAGCCATGAGCAAAGCACACCAAATGTTCTGCTGTTGGCTGCAAGAGTGAACACAAGGATCTTAATGCAGTCCCAGATTCTGAGGAAATGAAGAGCCAGTGGGTTAGTTGCATTTTTCATGACAACGACAATTTTATGACAAATGCTGTCTGACAAAGTCAACATAAAGCCTGAAACGATCACTCAGAAAGACAGTTAAAAGCAATAGAAAGCCCTGGTCTCACACGCTCATTGACGTGTGTTTCAGAGGCCATCAATAGATTTTCTCTGTGACGTAAATCACAGACGCAGATAGATTTTCCACCTGAAGTGGGTGTGGACAGCAGCAGATCAACAACAAGAGGTTAGGTCATGTGATACATGGCTCATATATTTATAAATATCATTTATTTTTAAGAAAATAAGTATTTTCTATGTATTTTTTATGTATTAGTTTTTATGCATTATTCTATATTATATTGTTCTATGTATTATTTTCTATGCATTATTTTTTAATGCATTTTTCTAGGTATTTCTATTGTTATCTCGAGTATTCTTGTGTGTTTTTGTTGTTGTTGTTTTTTGTTCTATTTTTACTTCAGACTGTAATGCTTGTTTTTGATATCCAGGAAGGATTCATTTGGATCCTTTTAAATAAACAAATAAACTGTGTTTAAAGCTAAAGATGTTGAAACAGCCTCATGTTTAGAACAGAGTTTACATACTCGTGGTGAAATGAACCATCTTTGCAGTATTTTGAGCAACTGAAAAATTAAAAGACACATTCACGTTGACAATTTGTTGAATAGGGGTGCAATATGGGACCATTAAAAGAGACAAAAATAATGACCTGTATGAATTTGTTCAGTGAGCCATCTGCTCATTAAAATTTTTTTTATCTCGAGTGAAAATTCTGGCTGAATGTTATGGCGCTCTGGTCAGCAGCTGGTCAGTAGTTGTGGAGATAACATGCTCTGGACCAAACAGTTGGTTGAACAGACACATGGACAGATGGAATCGCCTGACATCACCATCTTTCAGCTCTGCCATCTGCATTATAAAAATCCAAATTTACAAATCAAGCACTGAGCTCTTTGTATTTTGGAAGCTTTGACCGACAGATATTTCATATTTTGTAAAATGTAAACCCAATGAATGTCAAAACTCATTACATGACTTACAGTAAAAATAGAGTCGGGGAGGATAAGAGAGGAAGATGGAAGAAGAGTTCGAGAAGGAAGATTAATTTAAAAAAAAAAAAAAAAAAACACGGACAAACAGATAAAAGGATTAGGCAGATAATTATAGAAGGAGCGAAGGAGATAGGGAGGAAGGGGCCAGAGAGGGATGTGTAGTGTGATGTAGAGATAAAATCCAGTTCTCTCACTGCCTAAGATCATCAATCTATAGCTGTGATTAGTAGTGGTATTTATAGAAGCCCTGCCATGGTAACTGTAGATGTATTTTTAGTGTCACTCTTTGTAGGTGCCGAACGTGTGTGTGTGTGTGTATTTTTATACGTAAGCATGTGTAGCGAATATATGAGAGAGAGAGAGAGAGACTGTGCCGAGCGAGGGAAAGTGAACGAGTCAGGGCAGAGAAAGTCAGAGAGAGGAAAAACATGGACGGAGTTTAAGTATGCTTTGTTTTAAATTGCCATGGCAACTCCCTCATCCCTTTGTTAATTAATGCTTCCTTTTTCTATGTCCCACACACATCAATAGGAATTTTCCCTATTATTTGTTGTCACACCTACATAGAGAGAAGAACTAAACAAGTGGAAAAGAAGGAACGAGGAAAATGTGTCTTGGCTCATGGAAAAGTGCTGATAGACTGACAGCGCAACTTGCCAGCACCCATCTGTTGCTGCACGTCTATTTCAAGCACACAGTGGACGAGGAAGAGAGTCGCAGAGAGAGACAACGACATGACAAGTGGTAGGGAAGAGAAATGGATAATAACAAAGAACCAAATACCAGTGTGATGGAACAAATCCTAAATATCTATCCTTGCCCTTGTTCGATGTGAAGCGTGACAGAACTAATGCAGACAACCGTTCACATAAACACTCATCTATATAGCGCCAGAGCAGAATGGTAGCTTTGCTGTGCCACATTTCTATGTCTACCATCCTCCACCTTTGCTCATATCACTGTAGTGGTAATGGATGGATGGATTACTGGCCAGGATGAAAATGATCAACTGTCGTGTCCAACTTCAATTCTGTGTCTTGACCCTCCTTGTCTTCTGGGTCAGGCTATTATCAGTAGAACAGTGGCTGCGGCAGATGGAAGGTCTTCACTTATTCTGCCAAATTCTGTATCAAAAGTTTTTCTTCTACTAAACAAAGTCCAACACCTACTTCCATCTAATGCATTTCCCACTTCATTTAAGTAATACTCATTTGGAAACATATGAATTGACAGTTCATAAAATAATCTTCATTAAAAGACTAAAGACCAACTTTAGACCACTTTGTATTGGAATGAAAATGCTGATGTTCGAATCAATGAGTACTTTGTTACATGAGTACAAGGTACTCATCATTAACAACTATAAACTCTCTTAAACCTCCCATTGAAGTGCACTTGCTGCAAAACATAAAAAAGGGTAAAAATGATGCAAAACAGTCAAAGCATGCTAAATGTCTCATTCAGGGACATGTTGACTAGGGCTGCAGCTATCCATTGTATTAATAATTCAGTATTCTATCGATTATTCTGGCGACTAAATTACTTTAGCCTAATTTAATAGTAATACATTGTTTTCTACATGGGCTGCAAGGTGGCGCAGTTGGTAGCACTGTTGCCTCGCAGCAAGAAGGTTGCCGGTTCGCGTCCCGGTGGGGGCACCGGAATCTTTCTGCGTGGAGTTTGCATGTTCTCCCCGTGCAGCGTGGGTTCTCTCCGGGTTCTCTCCGGGTTCTCCGGCTTCCTCCCACACAGTCCAAAAACATGTTGAGGTTAATTGGTGATTCTAAATTGTCCATAGGTGTGAATGTGAGTGTGCTTGGTTGTCTGTCTCTAAGTGTGGCCCTGTGATAGACTGGTGACCTGTCCAGGGTGTCTCCTGCCTTCGCCCTAAGTCGGCTGCGGCTGGGATAGGCTCCAGCCCCCCCGCGACCCTAATGAGGATTAAGCGGTGTATAGAAAATGGATGGATGTTTTCTACATGGCCTATCTTGTTCTCTCTGCCACTTACCATTTTTGTCTCCGTCTGCATTTTGCATTCTGTTCTTGGCATGCGCGTTACAGCATCAAAAGCGGAGGTGAGCATGCTGTGCAACAGAAATAACCACCCGGGCGAAAATGGGCGGACATCCGCGCTGTATCGTGCTTATTTAGGATAGTAAATAGCGGACTAAACGAAGCCTCGAGGCAGAGAGTTTTGCCTCAAAGCATTTCAGTAATCGTTTCAGCCCTAATGTTGACACTCTGATCTGAACAGTCAGTGGTTATAACTAGATTCTTTTTATTGCTCACACCTATTACTGACCTTGGCTTCATTTTGATCTTTACACACCTGAAAAGTTTCACAACGTACACAGTTGTGATGCTATTGTGTTGCCTGTGTACAGATGTCCAGACAGACAGACATAAAAACACCTGCCAAAGCACTCAAAACCACCTATGTTGTAGTTACGGCTACAGTAGGTGTCTCCAAGACCACAACTTGCCACGATGACACACACACAGACAGACAGAATAACTCACAAGGTAAAGACAATACCAGTTAGGCTTCTACAGATGGTAGTAGTTCCAAAAGTTGTGTCCTTCAAGGTTGATTGCAGGATTGTGGCAAAACGCCTTCTTACCTTGGAAGCCATGCGAGAGTAAAGAGCATTCTGATCCTGTGCAGAGCTCATCTTCTCCCTCCTGACCATCTCCTTCAGACCAACACTGTCGTCATCCTGGAAGTAGCGGACGCGCTCCCCGTCAACATGGGTCTCAATCTGAGACAAGAGGGAAAGAGGAAAGAACGTGAAAAAAGCAATACGGCGAACAGAAAAGTTCACCCGAAATTGGGCGCACTGTGTAGAAAAAACTAAGACACACAATTCTACACTTGAAGGATGAAAAAGTGACAGAAAAAGAACAGTAGAGGGAGAAAACAAAAAAGAAATGAAGCAGGAAAAGCTATTGGCAATCTGGAAAGACGAACTCTTTCTCAACTAAAAGGTACAGGCACAGATGGAGGGAAACAACGGGAGAGACAGACAGTAAAGGAGACTGGGAAACGTTCTAATTTATAACGCTGAAAAAACAAACAAACTGGAAACTTTGTTTACTTTCCACACATTTCAGTTCAGAGGCAGCAGTCCATGCTCTCATTACATACTTTGTGAAATAGAAGAAACAAATATCAGGATACAAACCTCGTATTTCGTTCCCCCTGTTCTCAATACCTCTGTCTAGTAGCAGCAGTGAGCAGGATCCTCTCTGTCTTTGGTCGTAAGTGGTGGCACACTTAGACACTTCCAGATAAATGTGCAGCAGCACAAGTTTAGCAGTTTAACTCCTTGTTTAAAAAACTTTTCACCCTGCTGCCCTGCCATTTGTTTTTCTATTTCTTTTGTACCCATCATACCCCCCCTTTACCGCTTTCTTCTTCCGCCGTCCTCCGTGGGGCTCCTGAGGTCCAGAGGGGCCTTTGACTGGCCAGGCCCGACCTGACTGATCCGTTCTGAACAGCAAGATCTCCTGGTCTTCACTGGAGCGACTTGTGACCTGCAAAACAAAATCACAGCCAGGTTACGTTTTGGTATATTCATTTTTGGATTGCACAAAAGTATATAGGTTTATGTGTTCAAATTGTAGCATTTCTACAGCAACAGAAGAAATTCTAATCCCCCCCCAAAAATCTGTAAATATCTCCCCGCACTCCACTAGTTGTCTAATCTTTGAGTGCACTAAAAAAAAAAAAAAAAAACTCTGTTCTTACACAGCGGGCTCTGCAAATGGGAAGCAGAGTGGTTCAGAATGATTCACATTGAGGAGGAAAGGAGGCAGTGGAAGCGAGAAGGGCCGTAAATCAGGCACATGATAACTACCTAAATACTCCAAAAAGCTAAATATCAACAAACTTCCTTAAGAATTACTTTTAGAGTCAACTTCTGTGAAGAAAAAGGAAGATTAATACCTGAAAAATAACTTTGACAATATAAAACACGACAATAAAATAGTCCATCATTGTTATTTAGTGCCAGAAATGCTACTTTTGCTGATCATGTTCACAACAACATACAACTTCATAAGGATGCACAGATTTTAATACCACCGATTTTGAAGTAAACCTAAGCAGGTTAAAGCTCTGTTATTTGGCCTTTCAGTACTAGTTTCTGTATTTCAAGCTCAAGCCCAAAGAACAAAACATTTGTCACTGTAAAAAATAATTACAACCAGTTGAAAAATCTCATCCATCTCATTTGTATATTTAAGGAAGAAAAAGTCATGTTATGGATCTGTCAGATTCAGCTGATTTGTTAAAATTGTACTCCACTAATAATCAGAAATCCACTTTACATAAACCCCTCACCAACCCTGCCTCTTTCCCATGGAATTAGTTTAGTTTAGTAGTTTTGTCAGGGTCTGATTTAAGCTTTAACAAACTGCGTATTGTTGTTTCGATTCAAACACCTATTACAATTCATCCAAGTGAAAATCACTCACCTATAAAGACAGATATGTTAAAAATAAAAAGAGGAGTGGTGCATTTTTTAAGGTAACCTTTAAGAACATGAAGAAAAAAATACAACACCTCATGTTCAAAAGCATGAATTCTGATAAAAACCTCTCTTTCAGTTCAAATCTACCAGTCCGCACAGGTCCATGCTTTTTCAAAATCTAAAAGTTTGCTTGTTATGAAGAGCTGACGATGATCTATGCTTGATTTTTGCAGAAAATATAAACAAGTCTCAATATTTTATGCAGTGCTCATTTAGACTTTGCTTCACTTTGATGGAAAGTGTCAACTAGATTTATTACATTCAAAAGTAAAAATAGCCTTACGTAACCGCGGTCTGATTACACAGCCTATAAAAGACTTGAAGTTCAACCTGACAAGGAGACAGACAGACTAGAAACAAGAACAAGGCGAGAGTAGCAGAAAGGCTGGGAGACAGTCACATGAAAATGAAACTGGACTGTCAGAAAAAGAAATGATAAAAGAGAATATTTCCTCTGCTCCAGTCAACAGCTAGACCTTTCAAGGCTCCACGCGCAGTGAAAAACACAAAATATGAGCCAGACAGGCAACAAGACTCAAAACGCTGAACGGTGAAGACAAGCCAAAAGTCTTCCGTAACAAGACCAACTGGAAGGATCTCAAATGAGTGCAAATCAACAGCACTCCATCTTCAGAGGGCTGAAGTACCTCTCAGCTGATAAGTGCACTAAAACCTAAGAATTATGACGTTTTCCCTGAAACCTTACTTAAGTATTTCATCCTAGTCTTTTCATTTGGACAAGGAAGCCTTTCTGGGGATAAATCTGGCCTTGCTTGCAAATAATGATTTACAGGTTGCATAAATAATCACAGACTGCTTTCCATGTGTTTATAAAGTTGTCTGCAGTCGGCTCATTTCGGAAATACGCAGCCATTCATCTGGGCGTGTGTGTGTGTGTGTGTGTGTGTGTTTGTGTTTGTGTATGTGTGTGTGAAACCAGAAAAGGCAATAGTAAACCCAGTAAGAGCAGATGAAGCAGGGCTGAGATGTCAGCCGTTCGTCTCTGTGAATTGTCTGCACTGGAGAGCCAGACATGATGGCACACATACTCTCATACCGGTGCTCTCTTATTTCAAACACACACACGTTAACTCGAGGGCACACTCTGCCTGACCCCTGGTAGGAGAGTGTCATCAGCACACTAAAAACACATTTGTTTCTCATTAGGAGACTGCGCAAGCGCCAAACCGGAGTGGTTTCCACACAGACAGCGAGACGCAAGAGCTGAACAGCAAAAGACTTCAAACAAACAAATTCCTTTTAACAGCAGTCAGACGTAACAGCAGAGAGTTTAGTTGCATCTGAAGTCAAGAGTGTGTGTGAGATGGATGCTGCAGTAACCTGCTGTTTGAGGGTGTACGTCTGTGTGTATGACTGTGTGAAATTTAGAAAAGATATCGCCTTGAGTTTTTGGTTTAGCATTTAGACGGTGGGAGAAGAAAAATAAGCAGCCGGAAGATAAATGTGACAAAAGGTAGGTGTGTGTTTGTATGTGTTATGTTTAGGGCTGTGTGCTGGCTTCTGTTAGTATCTATCACTGTGTGTGCATATACAGTAGTTGTATGTAGAAATTCATCGGAATATACATGTGAAAATGTGTGTTTTAGTGGAGTGTGTGTGTACTGAAGATACTTCATGTCATAAATCTGGAGAAGCAGCATTTTGTAGCTATCAGCACAGGGGGAAATAGCTGTCAGGAAACAGGACACATTTTGATAGTATAGAAACAGATAAAAAACAAAAGAGGCAAGAAGGGAAAAAGGGAGAAACAGATGGGAGAAAAATGATTTCCAATGAAAATAAGAAGTCCTCCCTTTTCTTCTGATTTTGTCACCCATCTAATCACTGTTTCCTTTTTTTGTTTTTTTTTTTAAGGGCCAACTGTGGCCTGTCTTTTATTATCCTATTCACTCACATATTACTAACTTGTTAAAACAAATGTAAAAAAATAAAACATAAAATCCCTCCAACAAATGGTATATTTATAGAGGTTATGATTTTTTGTTTTTGTTAATGTTCATGGGAAGAGTTGAAATTCAGGTTCATTTTGGAGACTATATGTTGTGATGCTGTTGAATACTGGGAACTTTGTTATACTGAGAGATGTTATTAGTTCTCTGTCTGCCCTTAAGCACTAGCTAAACAAAGACCTACAAATAGCATCTACAAACCTGGTTTGCTTTAGTCGCTTCTTGTAGCTTCTTTCTGGCAGCGTAGTTCTCCTTGGCTTTATTTGCTGCCTCCAGTTGTGCCTTCAGCTTCTCAACCATGGCCTGAGACACACATGCACAAAAATATAGTTGTGAAACACAGACATGCTTTAGGTTGCACATTTAAATTTATTGATAAAACAGTCAGACAGCACAATCAATCAATGTGGTTGTCCACAGGGTGTTTCAAAAGACAGGTTGTCAAATAAATACTAGAGTAAATCTTGAATGTTGCAGTATATAAATGTGTCATAACTGACTATTTTCTTAGCTCAGCTATCAAATTTTTTTTCTATATTAGCGTCATTTGACACAGAAACATCTCAGTCACAAACGCACTCACTGAACCGCTTCAGCCCCACTGCCTTGACAGATATCGATACCTTTATGTACAGGGCATAAAAGCCAAGTGCATGACCATTAAATGCACTTAAGACACACAGGCGCACTCGAACACGTACACAAAGAGGTTTGGGAATATGTTTTTGATTGTTTTGTCATGTAGGGAGATGCTGAAAGCCAGGTTGCTAACACTTGGCATTATAGCCATGAGGGGGTAAGTGTGTTTGTGCTCAAACAGACAGCTCTGACACTGTATAAAAGATCCCAGTAGCACTCTTCGCATTGACAGATGGAGACGGGCGAGGACGAGGTGAGTGCACGGACCAATGAATGTGATAAATTAATTGATCACTTAATGTGCTGTTAAATATATGCAAAGAAAAGAGTTGAAGTAAACGTGCTGAGGAAAGGCAAAACACCTGCAATTTTGCAATAAAGCTAAAGCTTTGACATATTCTCACCACTGAAAAGAATACAACTATAAATCTCACAACTTTGACTAAAAAACATTTACAGGTAATACTTGTGTATGTATGTATCAGTGAGTAAAAGTCTTTTTAATTCGTTTTTTGTTTTTATATTGAGGAATACTGTTTTATTTATGCACTAGCATCTTTGCAGTAAATGAAATATTAAAATGCTATACAGGCCAAATACAATTTTTTGTTTCTTTTGGCATTTCATGTGTGAATAAAGTGTAGTATATTATATTATATTTAAGTACTCAACAGTACCAGTCCTTCTATTACAACAATGTGGTGCTATGGATGGTTTATAGCCTTAACGTCATTACACCAGCTTGTGATTTTCTATAATCTTTTAAGGAAAGTCAGTCCGAAAAGTACTTATTTAACCTGGAGGAGATTCTGAGGGCTACCATGGCATATTTTATGGTGGAAATTACAGAGTAGTGTGTCCTAGTGAAAAGTTTAAAAAGCAAATCTGAAAAATGAGTCAGAGAAAATCATCATGATCCCTTCCAAGGACAAGGACATGATTTAGTACAAGGTGTTAGAAAAGGGGGAGTCATCCTATAACCAGGATCTTGTTATATTAAATCACAGTACAGCAATTTCTATTGACTAACAGAAATTAATAGCAGTCTTACTGTGTTGCCCATGATCTCTGCCTTGATCAGCTTGGACCCCAGTTTGTTCATCTCTTCTTCTGTGAGCAATGGAACTTCCTCTTCCTCCTCCTCTTCTTCTTCCTCGCTTTCACTCTCAGCCCTGAACAAGCATGAATAGGAGAGTTTGAAGGCCGCACCAAAACCAAAAGGTGGAAAAGAACATTTAAACGCTGGGGGAAAAAAAAGCAGATTTCCATTCAAATTCAAAATTTTCACAAGAAAACTTGTGAAATTAAATGCATTTGTACAGCTTTTTGACAAGCAGAGTCACATAAAAACACCTTGTTCGATGCCCCTCCATCGCTTTTTCACCAGAATTCTCCTATAACGCACCCTCTGAACAACCGGATTCAATTATTCCAGGCTAATAACAGCCCTAAATCCTCTGGGAAACTTATTTGTGAAGTTTTTAATTTAAGCATTTAGTTGTTTGCTTCTGAGCTCCCGCGCCATGTTTATCTGTTATGATTCATTTGAGTCTTTTTGCCCCCCAAGAGATCATTACAGCCTTGCCTGGGAGGATCGGAACTGCAGCTGGGAAGCGTCGTTCTAGGCTATTACGCTTCTTATAGCATCATTTCATTCTGCTGCCACACTGTAGCCTCATTTCATGCTGCAGGGATTCTGGTTGCCGGTTTACCCAAACAACTTAGCCTAATGAGGCAAAGCACAGAACAACTATGAAGGCTTTAGAAAGCAGTGATATTCTGACATCTGGCCTATAACAGAGCAGAACATTGAACTGCCATGAAACTATAAAAACATGTAAAACTGCTAGTGACTTAAAAGAAGCCAAATTATTACAATTTATCTGAAAAAAAATAAGCTTGTGATGCAATTATCTGACTCAGTTTGAAAGCGTCTGTGCTACCAAGTGCTGTTGCAGTGTTCTGTACCGTTGAATAAGTATTAATCTATTGTAGATACGCAACTACATAGGTAAAAATGGACAAAATCAACAAAAATAGACAGCCAAAGAGACAGAAATGCAATTAAACAGCACTCTTACAACGACAATTACTCTTCAGAGGACATGCACAATTTTGGATAAAAGGGAGAAACGGTGTAGACGAAACAAGAGAGGCTAAGTTAGGAGCCATCCATTATCTATACACCACTTAATCCTCACTAGGGTCATGGGGGGGGCTGGTGCCTATCCCAGTCGACTCAGGGCGAAGGCAGGGGACACCCTGGACAGGTCGCCAGTCTATCACAGGGCTACACTTAGAGACAGACAACCAAGCACACTCAAGATGTTTTTGGACTGTGGGAGGAAGCCGGAGAACCCGGAGATAACCCACGCTGCCACAGGGAGAACATGCAAACTCCACGCTGAAAGATCCCGGTGCCCCCACCGGGACGCAAACCGGCGACCTTCTTGCTGCGAGGCAACAGTGCTACCAACTGCGCCACCTTGCAACCCAGGAGTGTATGTGTTTCTGTTAACTAGACATAGTGCTTGAGACAGAAACAGCTCTTAAGATAAAAATAGTGCAGATGAGCCATGAAAATATATGAGTTATGGGCTTAAAGTGCAGGTATCTAGGGAGGGTTTCTGGGATTATCAAGACTAATGTTTCAAAGCAGATAAGGACTCTAAGAGTTGTCAAAGCCAGTAAATATGCAGAGAAACAGCCAAGTTTTATAGCAGGGATTACTGTGAGAACGGCTGGCTAGGTGCTTGTGTGGATAAATTAAGAAGACATAAAACAGATTGATACTTTCTTCCACTGTCTGGTGCTGTGTGTATGGACACAGTCAGAAATCAAACCTGTAACCAAATATCGACACAAGCTGCATCATGCCGAGCAGAAAGTCGGCTCCATGTGAACTCTGTGTGCACACGGATTTCCTTTCAAGGATCCAGATTTTAAATGGACAGTAACTAAATTAAACAAAACTGTAAATGATGCTAATTTTTGACATGACAATGAATCGAGAAACACCCGCCACTGTCTTTGTATCTCTTACTGCCTCTCATTTTAAACATATTAGGTTATGTATAGATACAACTAAGAGTGTGCACTCATCAGTTCACAATTTCTATGTAGTACCAAATCCGAAGATAAATGAAAAAATAAACATTTTTAAGGATGTAAAGAGGAGTAATCACTCATTTTAAAACTTGCTGAAACAAAGTCAAGAAGTTTAAATGATGCTGTGGTGCACAGATTAGAAAGAGCA